CCATTGTATTTGCAATGTTGGTTCTAGTACAATCAATTGCATAACGCAAGCTTCCAATTATGCTATCATATTCCTTTTGATTAATCACATCATTTTCATTATTAATAGAAAATAAGTGAATACTAGAATTAAAAGGAGTAGTAACATGCTTGCAATCATAATAATTATATTTTTTCAACATTTTGTCGACATAATGCGACTGATCAAGAAATATGCCATCTCATGTTTTTGTGATTTTCATTCCCAAAATGAAATTAGCCTCACCAAGATATTTCATCTCAAAATGGTTATAAAAGCATGCTTTTTGTCTCGTTTATAACATTCAAATTTGAACCAAATATCAATAAATCATCCATATAGAGACTCAAAATGACATGTGATTTTTCAAAAGATTTGTAATATATGCATTAATCACACTCGTTGGTTTAAAGATCATTTTTAATCATGCAGGAATCAAACTTTTCATGCCACTATTTAGGTGCTCGTTTTAAGTCATACAGGGATTTATTTAGCTTGCACACTTTGCTTTCTTGTCCAGGCTCTATAAAGCTTTTGGGTTGATCCATGTAAATTTTCTCATCTAGATTTCCATTCAAAAATGCAATTTTTACATCTATCTGATGAATTTTTAGATTAAAAATTACAGCCATTGCAATCAACAATCTAATGGATGTAGTGGTATCAAGGAGCCGAGCTGGCTCTCGAACCAAAACTCGAGACTCAAGTAAAATGGTTCTAGCCTTTTATGAGTAAAAAAGGCAGGTCGAGTCGAGTTGAGCAAAAGCTCGACAAAGAAATCAAGGCTCGACCCGAACTTTCGACTCGCTCGATTTTTTCTTAAAAATAAGGCAGCAACATGAAAAAGTAGCAACGAGCAGGCTGCCTATTTTAGGCATCGTGTTTCTATCTTTAAACTTTTTTAAATTAAGCCCGTGAGCTCGAGCCGGCAAGCTACACTGGCTGGGTCGTGCTCGGTTGGACATCTTAAAATGGGACTCGGCTCAAGCCTCGAGCTAGGACAGCCCGTCGAGCCATGGGCGGCCCAATTGCCACCCCTAAATGGATGTGACTCTAGTTAACGGAGAAAAAGTGTTGAAAAAATCAAGGCCGACTTTTGTTTAAGGGCCTGTTTGAGAACGAATTTTTTCACAAAAAAAAATTGATTTTTTGACCGTTATTTAACTATTCCAGTCGTCATATTTGGCTTCTTCTCTCACAGGTGGACCCCACTTTTCTCCTAGCGGTCAAAAAGATCAATTCTCAAAATCACTCCCAAACAGGCTCTAAATCATTTTACAACAAGTCTAGCATTGAATTTATCGACTGTACCATCCAATTTATATTTGTACGACCTGATGGTAATTTGATCAATGTTCAAGCATTGTTAGAGATTAGAGAATTCATCTCATTATTTACAACCTATTTTCAAAATATAGTATCAGGTGATGTAAAAACTTCTTGTTAAGAAAGTTAAGTATCCTCAATATTGAAAACATGCTAGCCATGCCCAAAATCTTTTTCAACTCTAGCTCTTTTACTCCTTTGAAGTTCAATTTGAAAATTTTCTTGGTTTAGAAAAGGAGTAAAAGAACTCAGTTTTGATAAATATTTTGTCTTACTTATTCACTCACCCTATTTTTGGTTTTGAAAGGAAATTTATTTTCGTGAAAAATAGCATCACTTGACTAAAAAAAATAAAAATAAAATTATTTTAAATATCTAAAAATCTACAGGCTGTACTATTTATTTCAGATCCAAAAAAAGCACAAGTAATAGTTCTAACACTCAATTTTGGTATTTTAGGATCTGTTAGCCTTACAAAAGCTGCATAGCCCCAAACCCTTAAAATTTCAAGGGATTTTTGTTTTCTTGTGGGGCATCCTATTTAACACATAACATGCATTTAAAATTGCTTCACCCTAAAGATACGAAGAAGTACCCTACTCAATGAGTATGGCATTTGTCAAATCAATCAAAGTTCAGTTTTCTCTTTCAGCTACACCTTTAGAAGTAAGTGAGTATGGTGCAGTAGTCTCATGAACTATTCCCAAGACTGAACAAAAGAATTAAAAGCAATCATACTCTCGGCCTATATCAATTCTAAATCTTTTGATTTTTCTGCAATATTGATTTTCAATTTCTTGGAGGAAAACTTTGAATTTATCAAAAGCATCACTTTTACTTTTCAATAAATAACAGATAAGCATATCTTGAAAAATCATCAATAAAATTGATAAAATATCTATTTCCTCATCGAGTTAAAATCCCTTCAAATTCATAAAGATCAGTATGAATTAATTCTAACAATTTAGTATTTCTTTCAACACTTATATGAGGCTTCTTTGTAATTTTTACTTGGCTGTAAATTTCAGATTTTTTGAAATCATTTTTCATTCTTGGGAGTAATTCTAAACTTCCTATGATTCTCACATATATACTGTTTATATGATATAAACAAGTATGCCAAAAATTCACAGAGGAAAGCATGTGAATAAAAGTAGATTTTGTTTTATTGCTCTCAATATTCAATTTGTACATTCCATCACATGCATAACCTTTACCGACAAATAAACCATTTTTGATAATTGTATATTGACCACATTCTATAGCGTGTCTAAAGTCAGTCTTATTAAGAAGAACACTTGACATCAAATTCTTCCTCATTGACGATGCATGTAAAACATCTTTCAAAGTTAGCACATGTCCAGATGTGAATTTCAATCCAACCTCACCACTTCCAACAATCTTGATTTTGCTAGAATCACTAAGCAGATGGTTTTCTCTTCCTCGAAGGGATTGTAATTCTTAAACCAATTTTTATCATAGCAGACATGCCTATTGACACCAAAATCTGCCCAACATCTTTCAATATACTGTAAATCATGGCCACAAGTAGCTCTTCGATTACATTAGCCTAAGGAAAAGGCTGTTAATTACGAAATCTACAATGTCGAGCAATATACCCACTTTTACCACAAACAAAACATGCATTATAAATTTTATTTTGAGAAGGAGAGCCTTGATTCATATTTTTCTAGTTCGGATTTCCCCGTTTGTGAGGTTTACCATAAATTTTCTTATTTTTCTTTCTTAGCTTCAATTGACTATTTCCAAAAAACTGATTATTGGGCAAGTCATTATTTGCTGAAATTAAATTTACTTTCATGCTAGAATGTCCATTACTTCCTTCTGTCATAGATGCATCTTGGCCTCTAGCTTCTTCCTCTACATGGATGCAAGTGATCAACGTCTTCAGGGACGTCTCTTTCTACTTATGGGGCATTGACTTTTGAAACTCTCTCTATGATAGCGTAGCTTGTCAATGATTGCGAACCACGATATGGTTGTCCCCAATTTTGATGCCTTCAAATCTAACCTTTGCAACAATCATTTGAAAATCTTGTGCTTATTCTACCACAGATTTTTCATCTACCATTTGATAGCGAAGAAATGGCTAGCAGCGTATTTCTTTGTCCCAGCTTCCTCAGTATCATATTTATTTTGTGAAGCTTTCCACATTTTCTTTGCAAAGGAGTAAGTAGTATTGTAATAATCATAAAATTATCCGCTAGGCAATTCAAGATATAACGCTCTCGAAGTTCCTCTTCGTTCATATTGTTGATAGAGACCTTGTTTAGATTCTTCTCAGTGAGGATGTAGGATATACTTTAAGAAGACTGAGGTGAAATAGGACTTTACTTTTCCACCGCTTAAAATGAGCTCCCTTAAAACGAAGGACTTGCTAAGATCTTCGAAGTTGTCAATAGGCTTTTCAGGTGCTAATTCCCTTTGTTTAAATCTCCTTAAAATTGTTGGTGAATTTTCAATAATAAAAAATGAGTTACATAATAGAAAGATAAAGAAATTGGAATGATTGAGACGCGGATATTTCGCTCTTTTGAAGGATATTCAAGTCTTCTGTGGTTGATAAAGCCTAAAACATGGTGTAGCAGAATTTCTCCATGACTTGTCCCCTCCAAAATATGACTATTCATCGTATGGCTTAAACAAACTGTGAACAATTTGTTGAGCTCAAAGCTCCACTAAAGAAACACCTTTATTTGCTCAATAATCTCTCAAGGAAAATGAGTGAGAGTGCAAGGAGAAAAGTTAAAAGAATTGTTATTGTTGTGGTGTTGATGAATGACCAATGAATGATCCTATTTATAAGTAAAAATAAGCCACCCAAAATAAAGAGGTGTCATAAACAAATGAATCTTTTCAATTTCATTTTCCAAACCCCAACCTCTTCACTTTCTCAACTCCCAAAACCTACAAACTTATTAAAAGAAAATATAATGAATGAATTTTTAATATTAAAATGCACCAACAGCATCTAGCCCCTGTTTGGTCCCCATTACGGGGAAAATTTAATGTATAGAATAGTGTTTTTTGAAAAAGGAGTGGTTGAAAAAGAAAAAAAAATTTCGATTTACGTGTAATATTATTTTATGGAAGATTGTGTGGTTGAAAATAGGAGAGAGAAAAATAAAATGTAATGTAATGAAAATCAAACAAGGGTCTAAAGCATAGCCTTATTGCGTGGAAGAGGCATGCGGAAGAGAAAATGTGAGATGGAGTGTTGACGTTTTCCGATATTTTGCTTAGCTGATTGCAACGTGACCTATCTTGTAGGCAAAGACATAACAACTTTAGTAAAAATTGTACTGTTAGTATTGGTGTATTGGAATATCTGTAAACATTATACAAAGATTATACCACGCACAACCTTTTAAAGTTAAAATGAAATGAATAGATACCATTCACTATAATCAAACAAACCAGAAAAGTTGGTTTGGAGAGGGAAATTTGAGAGAAAGATGATCTTGTTACTTTTTAAGTGAAGCAGTAAAGATAAAGAGAGAAATGAAAAAAGGAAGCTAAAAACCCAAAAAGCTGTAAAAGGTCGTTTTCAGTGAGGGATGGTGGTGGAATTTTTGGAGTATCTATCCCTCTATACCCCACCCCCACACCCTCAAGTCATAACTCATTACCAAGTGTTATCACTAAGAAGTTGAAACTAAAAATAAAATAAAATAAAATCTTGGAGAGAGAACCCAATGGGGAAGGAATTTTGAAGAAAGTAGCAAAATATTTGTAAAAGAAAGATCGAGAATTGGTGGCGTTCTCTGGTTCTGGTATTAGTGTTTGCATAGACTGTACAAAAAGCAGCAGGTGCAGAAACCATTGATGAGATCACAGATATCTTTAATCTCCTTTCTGACCAAACACTGCCGATTGAATAAAAACTTGTCCTCTTGTTTCTTGGTTCAAAACCCATCTCATTGATTGAGCAAAAAATTATAGTGTACTGGAGGAGAAGAGGGATTCTTGATTTTAGCCTAAAAAATCAAGAATTCTCTTTATATACAGTACAGATTACAGTAATAGATAGAGTACGTACTGTTAGCCTATTATTAAAAGCTGTTTAAAAGTGAGAAAGCAGTATGAAGAAAATGGGCTAGGCTGAAAATTAGATTGTTATAGGGGGAGTGCTCTCTCTGTCTAAAGTGATGGAATTTGGAAGTTTGAATGGCAGGGACTTTTGGGGTAAGCAGATATTACAGAAACAGAGTAAGAAAAAAGAGGAGAAGAGTGAGAAGCAGCAGCAGCAGCAAAAAAAAGCCACTCATTGAAAATAAGCAAAAGTTGTTTAAAAAAGAAGCTGGAACAGGAAAAGAAGAACAAGGGTCTGAGTCTGGATCCTCTGAGGAATCCTCATCTTTATCCGAACGAGAACCAAAAATCCCAAGTTGTTAGATTCTCAAGAAATGTAGAAGAAGAGGAAGAGGAAAAAGACCACCACCGCCGCCGCCAGGAGGAGGAGGAGGAACAATCACAACCAGAAGCGCCGCTGTCTCATGGTCATCACCACCAACTTCATCAGTCTGTAGAATTTTTCCAACATAATCAGCCGTCAGGCTTTGTTAGTTTAGAAGAAATAGCATCACAGCCACAAGCGCAGTTGACAAAGAAACGTTTATACTATCCTACTTCATCATCACTGGAGCCGGCCGGAGAACATGCAAGATTGTCTGAGAAAATGGGGGAAAATTCTCATCACCGCCAAATGTTGTCGAGATTGAGAAACACAGGCGGTGAGATAGTGGAAGTTCAAGGCGGTCATATCATAAGGTCCACAGGACGAAAAGATCGGCATAGTAAAGTCTGTACCTCTAAAGGACCAAGGGACCGCCGTGTTCGCCTCGCTGCTCATACTGCCATTCAGTTCTATGATGTACAGGACCGCCTTGGTTTTGACCGCCCGAGCAAGGCTGTGGATTGGCTTATAAAAAAGGCCCAGGCAGCCATTGACGAGCTGGCGCAACTGCCGGCCTGGAAACCCACCACTGGTTCGTCAGTAGAAGCGAGTTTTAAGCAAGATGCACAGAAGCTTTTTGACGAAAACCACCAGCAACAATCACAGCGCCAGATGGATATTAATATTGCAGGGCCTTCGAGTAAAAGGGCAATGAGAATGCTGGGAGGTGAAAGTGAGCAACAAGGTTTGCACCAGAGGGAAACTGCGAATCCGAACTCGAACCTGAACGCGAGCTTTCTGCCCCCTTCGTTGGACTCCGATGTCATAGCAGATACTATTAAGTCCTTATTCCCAATGGGTGCTTCGGCCGAGGCCAGTTCCTCAGCTATGCAGTTTCAGAACTTTGGAACTTCTGATTTGCTGTCAAGAACCAATAGCCATAGCCAAGATCTAAGGCTCTCTTTGCAGTCATTTCAAGATCCAATTTTGCTCCACCACCACAACCAACAACAGCCTCAGCAGCATCAAAATCCCATTCACCACAATGAACAAACACATGTTCAATCACAAGCACAAATCCTATTAAGTGGCACTCCATTGGGGTTTGATGGCACTGCCGCCTGGTCTGAACAACTCCAGCAGATGTCTGAAATCAGCCGGTTCCAGAGGCTTCCGGCTTGGAATGCCAGTGGAGACACCGTGACTGGGAGTGGTGGAGCAGCTATATACTCGTTTAATTCTCCATCAGTGCCTCAGCCACTGTTGCAACAGCTGTTAGTCCAAAACCAGTTTCTTTCTCAGAGGGGACCCCTTCAGTCCAGTAACTCACCTTCGATTCGTGCTTGGATGGACCCATCCGCCGGCTCTATTGCCACGACTGATCATAGCCAACAGCTGCAGAACCATCCTGCAGTGTTTCCCATTTATCCATCTTCGCTACCTGGAATTGGATTTGCCTCAGGAGTGGGTGGATTCTCTGGGTTTCATATTCCTACACGAATTCAGGGTGATGAAGAGGAGCATGATGGTTATTCCGACAAGCCATCCTCTGCTTCCTCTGATTCTCGCCATTGAGAGTTAAACTCACAAAACAGCGAATCCTCTCTTGCATTGACAGGTAATACGAGGAATCCCCATTTTTCAGTTTTGTCAAGTGTCAACTTGCTTTTCTGCCAAATTTTTAGTCAAGAATAATGTATGCTGTCACATTGGAATGAATTTTCAGGAATTTATCGATTTGCCAGTGGAAGAAATCAGGCAGTACAATATATCCTAGTTTTTGCTGCTCCTGGTTCCTTTGAGGTACTTTGGTGAGTTAAGTCTGGTGGCCACTGCCGTGGGAAGAAGAATTCTGAGTGTCATTTCAGATTTTTCAATACCGGATTGCTATTCTACTTACAGTTTAATGTGTTTACTGTCTGAGTGAGCTAGTAGCTTAACTTTGTTTCAAGCCGTTCTATTTACTTTCTGTTTTTGTTGTTAGACATGTTTTGCCGCTCCTGTCTATTAGTTTTGTTCCTACTCTTTGATGAATTCTCAGGTAATGAGTTTAGGATTTCAAGGAAGATGTGTTTTCATGAAATATAACTTCATATCTTCTTCATTTGGACCAAACTGGTTGGCAAATCGGGTGTTATTTTGGTGTGGAGATACTGATGTTAGCTAGTTGTTGCCTTCTTGAATTAATGAGAGGAACAATTAATTGGGTTGTCTCCTCTGTTTTGGAAATGGTCAATTCGGGAATATTGCGATTTATTGATTGTCTGCCTGCCTTCTTTCTAAATGTTACAGTTCATGCCCTCATCAAATTTCTTAGGACAGCAAAAAGAATCGAAAGAACTACCGATCTTTTACTTGTCTACCTCTGCTTGTGGGGAGCATTGTGATAGAAGTCATTTTCCATGAAAAAGAGAGTTGTTTCCTAAGAACTATATATCTTTCGATGTGGAACTGGCATATAAGTGACACTTTTCTTTATTAGACCGTCAATACAGGTTGAAGTTCCTGTGCGGCCATTTCAAGCAATAGGTATCTTAAATCTTATGCCTACTCATTATTTTTGTGATAGCAGCAAATCTTATCCAACTGATTTAGCTTTGTGTCATATCTGGGCTTGAGCAGTCCTGATTGGGTCGTCTCCATTCGTTTAGAGGTCTTTACTTAAGATTGTTGTGAAAGGGAAACTAGTTTAGTCATAGGGACTTTTAACTCTTGTTACTAGATGCAGTATAAATTACCATACTTGAAGTTGGGTTGAATTTTGCTTATGAAAGCTCCATTTACCTTGACCTAAACAAATGGTACGTTTGGTTTGGAGGGTTTGGATAGGACTTGTTGGTATCGAGGAAGAATAAGAAGCTTAAATCTTATTCACTACACTACCAAACATGTACTAAACTGAGTAAGGTTATACAACCTAAAAGTCTGTAGAAGTCGGCTCACCTGTTCGGCTTAGTGGGATTTTGCTTGCATTCTCAGCATGTTTTGCTGAACTCAAAGTTACTCAAACTTACTTTTCATTGACTTGTTATCTTTTAACATGTTTGCATAACTTATATTTCTTTAGAAGTAAAAGAATTGACTTGTCCATGAATTCAACCATGATACTTAGCCATCAAATGCTGGTCCCAACCCTGCAAATCTTCAGTGTCTCTTACAACTTAGTATAGCTGGAAACTGTTCTACACCTCTGAAAAATATAAAGAAAAGCATTTAGTTTATATTGAGATGGTGACGAGTGCTTGATGGTTGTTGGTACTTCTTAATGGCTGATGAGTATCGTCCCAAAGGGCAGGAATAAGTTCACTTCAAGTCATTTTTACACCGCAATAACTCATATAACAGAAGGTCTAAAACTAGAAAATCTCTTGAATGCCATTCAGAGTGACAGTGAATCCCAATTCAGAAGAAGACAAGATCCATGTTCGAGTCGAACCATCTTGTCTAAAACTAGTGAATGGTAAACTAAGCAATCTTTCCTTACATAATAATGGTTTCTGATATTGCCGGAAGTTATTGCTTGAAGAAATCCAATCAATTATGGCAGAAGTATATTTCATGACTTTAGTCATTGACATTGGAGCAAGATTACATATAACTCGATTATCTTTTATTAAAAAAAAAAAAACATAACTTTTATAATATATTTTTATATGCTGAACTCGACATTACAATTGTTACTCTTCTTTAATCTTGTCTAATTTAGTAACAATGAAGTTTATAATTGTTCTATCCGTTACAATCACGTCATGGTAATTATGGCACTCGTTACTGAAACTTGTCAAAGTTTAAAGTAATGCTTAACGTTCCAATATCTATTTTGAACGTTGACCTAAAGTATGCAATATATTTAGACAAAGTAAAATAATATTATACGCAAATTCAAATTTTTTTCTTTTCCTTTTTTAACTACATATTCTCCATCAATCTACCATTATAAAATGCATTCTAAGTCAAAAATGGGGCTCAAAGAGGCTCTGAATGTTTAGAAGTTATTTTTTTTATTTAATAAATGAATATTTACTTTTAAGTAGAACCAAACCTCTCCTCTTCAAGAAAATTATGCGCAAGTGTACGGGCAAACTCTTGTTTGATTTTTAAGATATGGAATTGGACTCTTTGTGAACATCAGTGTACGGGCAAACTCTTGTTCCCTAACCTACTGTGGCATATCCCGCGATTTACCTCCTTCACGATGCTCCAAGGACGGAACGGTAGAAGCCTCAAGATTGGGGTCCAACCTTCTAGAAAATGATGCACAAGCGTTTTCATGGTGAAATACATGCAGCAGGATTAGATGGACCCCACTTCATGCAAAGCTGCAAAACTCAACCAAAAAACATATTCTTATTTGCTACAAAAATGCACAACTCTTGTCTCTCACCCCATAATTTATGCTGAAGAATATCAAAGGGCTGTAAAGGAGAGAGAGTTGGTGTATAAAGGAAAGAATGGAGTGGGTGTAAAATTAGAATTTATTAGCAAGGGTTAAATCATTCAAATTAATTGCTTTGGACTCGCATTAACATGTTTAAATTCTGAAAATCTTGGTTTTTATTTTCATAATACAGTATAAATTATCTGATTTGTCACTGAGACAACTGAGTTTTGAGAAAAATCCGAAACCTCACAGATTCTCTCCCATTTATTTCTCACTTTAATGGGTTTTAGTAATCTTGCTGAATTATGAATGGCATACTTGATTCCATATATTTTGTGTAATCTATTGAATGGAGATTTAGTTCCTTAAATTCTTAATAAATTTTCCATTTGGCATTTGCGTTCATTTCAAAACCCTCAGATTCTTTGTTATTTTTCAGATTTTGTGTATCTTCAAGAATATGGTAGAGGATATGGTGGATGGTTTGCCATATTTAATATCCCGTTTGGGCTCTCCTTTAAATTTCAAGATTTATATTTAAGCTTAAAAGGGAAAATGGGTAAAGAAGAAAACATGGATTTGAGCGGTTGTAGTGGTGGCGGCGGTGGCGGTAGATCGAAAAAGGAGAAGCAAAAAAAAGTTCCACGGAGAGGATTAGGTGTGGCTCAATTGGAAAAGATTAGATTGGAACAAAAAAAAAATGATGCAACATTAATAGCAGCTAATCTTTTGGCCAAATCAATTGTTTCACTTTCTTCAAATTCAATCCCTTTAGCCCCACCATCACCAAATGATCTTCCTTCGCCTAATTCTACATATAATCTTTCCCAATCAATTCCATATATTGAGTTTTTACATCCGAATTCAGTTCAATTCTCGAAGCCATTGATTGTGAGTGGAGGGGAAATAGGTTTGGAGCATGGCAGTTGGCCTAGATTGTGGAATGGTGAGTACAATCTTGAAGGGAGAAATCTTCATAGATTCACCATTCAAGCTCATACGATTTTTCCATATGAGTCGAACCCTTTTGGGGTTTTGCCTCTTCCGAGTGCACAACAAAGAGTACATCAATTCCAGCCACCAACTTCTTCATCAATGGTTAGCTGATTAGTCCATGTATAATAATTTGATCTGCTCGCTTAGGCTTTTTATTGATGATAACATTCGATTTGCAGGGGAATGCCTATTCAGGGATTTCATCATCATCTGTGTTAGATTTTCAGATAGAGCCCCCTTCAAACCAAAGTTATCTTGGCAACAATTATAGACTATTTTGGCCAGAGGAGGAGAAGGTGTGCTTATTCTTCTCCAATTCATGACTACAATCAGGACGACTTTATTTTTCTTTCGACGAATGAGATCTAGCATAATGTGGATGTTTATGTCGTGATTCAATTTAAGTTTCAGTTTCTCTCAAGCAGATCCTTCTAAAATTGGTAGATTGTTACGGATTTCAATATCCCTTCTTCGTTCTTAGTAGGATCGAGCAAAGGTCTATCAATATTTTGTAGCTAATTTGATCTGTCTGTGATCGAAACGTAGATGGTTGGCGGCATAAAGAGGTCATATCCCTTCTCTATGGAAACTCCTCCAGCCCCTTCTTTCCATGGAAAATTTCATCCCAAATATCTAATCTCCATTTCGGGATCAGATGAAACTGGTTCGTGTAGCAATGGATGCACCACACAGATGGAACCAAGCATTAAAAAATGCAGCAGGTTTCTCCCCCAACAAATACTCCAATCTCATCGTGCTCATCAGCATCCCCGAATATATGCAGTATGCTAATGGTGTTTCTTTAAACGACTTTTTCAGAGAGAACCCTTCGACCCCAGGTCCCCTGCCCGAGCAAAATCCGAATGAAGTAACTAGAGAAAATAGAGGTCTGAATGGAGATTTTCTCACATTGGCTCCTCCAGTTGCTTCCTTTCCTCTGATCTCAAGACATAAGCATCCGTACGCATATTCAGGCCATCAGGAGCAAGAATTATCTGATCTCGAATACATTCACAGTCAGGTGTGGAACAAGACATTTTTTTATCGTTGTTTTCATTTTTGTTAACGATTTTTACTTTCTTTCCATTGTTAGGGAAGTGCCAAAGATCCAGAACGAAGATCGATCCAACAACTGCCTTTTACCTTTTTCCCGTCCAAGGTACAAATCGGACAAGGATCAAGCTGTTTTGATTATGCCAATGGTGAAAAACGAGAAACAGTTGATCTCGATCTAAAGCTATAGAGACTCTCGGTCTTGTGGTAATCTTATCAGTGCAAGTGTGTGATGTCTCATTAAATGGATTGTGTTAGTCCTTTTTCATGTTTTCGCGAATATGGAGCTGATTATGTAAGAATAGAGCCTTGTGCGATGAATTCTTGGCATTAATAGGAAAAAGATGGAGAGATAAAGAGTGAATTTTGTTTGTTTGAAGCTATGTATGAGCAAACCTTTTGACTTTTCTGAGTCATTTACTAGCTTCGTAGTATTGGTAACAAACTAACATGCAATGGTTGTAACAAGTCGAGTTGAGTCGGCTCACGAGCCTAAACTCAAGACTCAGTATCAGCTCGTAAATAAAAAAGGCTCAAACTTTTTAGGCTCAAGTTGAGCCCGGACTTAGCTCGTCTCCAAAAAATGGGGGCTTGGATACGTCTTTGGCTCGAGCCTTTGTTTAAGAACTACAAAATTAATTATACAAATTTATGAATTTTACAAACTAAGTGATCATTATTTTCCAAGCTAAAAAAAATTAATTATACAAGTGGTTTAAAAACATAAAAAGGCGGGTCACACTAACCCATATACCAGCCAGCTAGTATTTGGGCTCGTGGGTTGGTCCAAGCTCTGACCAATCCTGATTTTTGAGGCTTGGCTCGTAGAAATGAGCTCCAAGCCGGATTGACTCTGACATTTTTCGACACGGGCAGCATCGAGCCAATGGACTTGTTTGCCATCACTACTAACATGTGACTTGTGTGCATCTACAATGATTTTGTCTTTTCTTACTTCAAATTAGGGATTATAATGGGATGGGAGTGGAGACGCTCCTATCTCCAATCTTGGGGATTTTTGGGGGCGAGCGGGGTTTATATTTGAAATTTTATTTGTCGTGTGGTGTTTTTGAATAACAATGATTATACATGGCTAAAAGTGTAAAGGTGAGTGGGATTGTCTAAACTCTTATAGTCTTATTTGACATTGTACAACCAAATCCCGAGAGGTGGACTGTGTTGCATGGATCATTTTTAGATTTTTTTTTGTCAAAAAATTAACTAGGAAATAATAAAAATTATAAAATACGTTATAATGTTGACCAATTTAAAAATTGTTAAACAAAGTGGATAAAATCATTCTACATCACTACTTTTAGAGTTTGTTTTGTATGACTTTTGAAAAGTCAAAATGAGAGTTCGAACGTAAAAGCGCTTTTGAACTCACTTGATTAATTAAAAAAAAAAATATTTCTTCTTGTGAAAAGAGTTTTTAAATAAAGTTGACATATTGTGACTTCTAATTACAGAGCTTCTTTAGAAAGGAATTTTTTTCACGAAAATAAAAGCCTTACCAAACGGACCCTTAATCTTAAATGTAACTTTTGACTTTTTGAAAATCTTGGCAAACAGGCCCTTAGTCCAGACCGAATCACTTCACGAATTGATCTCATGATTTTGAATTGAGTGGAAATTTAACCCAACCAGATTTTTTAAGTTTCCAATTCAAAATTCAGATTTAAAGTATTTTTATAGAAAAATCAGTTGACAATATAATTTTTTGAATATTAATAATAATATTATAAAGTTAAATAATCTACAAACTCACTACCCACCAAAACGCTCACCCCCACTCAATTTAAATTAATCTACACAACCCATCGTACCCCCACAAAAGCCCTACCCCAAAATGGACACCATGTTGTACCCATAGCAAAGCCGACCCACCTTATACACCTCAAACCTTAAATCATTTTTCACTTTCTTTCTCATCATTTCCCTTTTCTCTACATTTTCTCCTCTCTAGCGACACATCCCATCCAGCGACATGGCACCTCTGACGTTGAGGTTGTGGTCATCGGTTCGTGCGGCTTTGCGCGAGGATCCGTGTGTTTTTCTGGTCACAAATCTCGAAGATTCGTGGTTTCGCTTGGTTACAGATCGTGATGTTCTGGTGGTTACTTCGACGTTGCATTTGCTTGGCTTTTGTGGCGGGGTCACAGATTGGCTGATTACTTCTGCTGCATCGCAATCATCGGCGGAAGTTTTCAGGCTGCCACTCTTGCCTTACCACGTTGGTTTTTTCGGTGTTTTATTGCTTTCTCCAGTGTTTTCCGGTGATTTCGATGGTAATTTTGTGTCATATTTTGTGGTGGTTTTTTCGGTGGTGATGCAGGCGGTGTTAGTATATAGTGGTGGCGACGATAGGTTTGTGGATATTTTGGTTGGGGTGGTGGTTGTGGGATGTTATATATGGTTGATGAGTGCTCGACGCTCATTATATTTTTACCATTTAATTCATTATTTTGCTACTATTGAGATTGTGTTAGAACGTTTTAAAGTGTGTTTTGATGTTTTGATATAAGTTGATGAAATTGAATTGAAATTCAATTAAATAAGTAAAAGTTGGTGAAATTGGAGAAAATGCCAAATTGTAAGAGATCCAAAGTTCGAGGGACTAAAGTACAAATATTCAAAAGTTGTATCGAACCTCGTGATGAAGATCTGAGAGTGTTAGGAGTCAATTGGATGAAAAAAGATGTCAAAAAAATCAAATTTATGCAAAATATGACCACAAATCAATTTCCAACCGAAAAGTTATGCTTTAGAATTTTAGCCTCACATTGAGACCGATTTTTGGCATATCAAACGATCAAATTGGAGAATGATGTCTAAAACAAAGTTGTATCTCTTTGAGTTATATTTCCAACTCTTTTTGAATCACCTCAATCGAAAGTTGGACGAGAAAGTTATGTTAAAAATATTGAAGGATTCATGGTCTGTCATTTTCCACCGAACCGGGGGCTCACTTACTGAAAATAACAGCAAGCTCTGCACTTAGGGGTGTCAAAAGGGCTCGGGCAGCCTGTGGTTCAGCTCGAAAAAACCCCGAACAGGCTCGACTCGTGGTTCGAAGAAATCGAGCCAATGCTCAGGCCGATCCCCATTTTTGGGGCATCAGCTCGAGCCCGAGCCGGCCCGAAACAATACAAAAATTTATTGAAAAAAAATTACGTAAAGCTTAGGCAGTTATACATAGTTGCCTTAAGTTAAGGCAGCATTAGGCAGTAGCTGCCGTCTAATATTAAAATTGGTGTTCAAATTTTTGAATTTCAAATGTGAAATTTAAATTTGGTTAAGTTGATTTTATTTATTTATTTATTATTATTATTTTTGCTATATGGGGGCAAAATTTTGAATTTCATATCAGTTTGCTCCAATCATTTTCAACTAGTAATATTGTAGTCTCAACTTCAATTTCTTGTTCTAATATTCAATTCTTTAATCTAATATTCATTATCTTTTATTATAATAGTTATAGATGGATTTTTCAAGTTGAAAAAAGAGGAAAGTTGTAATTCTTATTTAATTTATATTTCGTATAAATTGTACGATTTTTAAATTCTTTAAAAAATGTTAGATTTGTCATCAATTCAAAAAAAAAAAAAAAAAAAACAATCAGGCCGGCTTGGCTCGCTTAGGCCCAAGCGAAAAACTTGGGTTGAGCCTAGTTTTTTTGCCGAGCTTTTGCTCGGCTCTGGCTCGTAAAAAGCTCGACCCATTTTACTAGAGTCGAGCCCAAACCTCGAGTTTCGACTCGTGAGTCGGCTCGACTCGTTGATATCTCTAGGCGTTGGATATGCGGGAAAACGTGTTTTTATGTTTTTAGACTCTTTTCTTGGCCCAATTCAACTCTAATTCGTCCAAGATCCCAACATATTATAAATATCATTCAAAAAACTCTATTTTCAAGAAGAATTGAAGGGGTCAAACACAACAATTGAAGTGCCAAGATTGAAGACAATTCAAAGGAGGAATCAAGGGAGGCAAAAACAACATCAATGGAAGAAATTGATGATCTACATCCTAGTTTTTTTTACTCTCTTCCTTATGTTTTCTTATATGAATTTTTGTATTTCCATAGATTATATCATGAGCTAAATTTATATTCTAAGGATTGATTGTAGCCAAAATTTGATATTATGGTTTAATTATGTTATAGTTACTTTTATTTAATTTTTCACATATGTTTTAATTGTGTCATGATTTTAATGCTTTCAATTAACTGGCAACTAATTGAATGATTTGATGTTTTAAACTTCGACGCTCGAGAGAGACAAATTTAGGTACAATCATAGGATTGACACAATATAGGATCTATGAGTTTCGAGAAAAAGTATAGAATTTATGAAGCTTACTCCATAAAAGAATTGAAACTTCAATAAATTCTTGATTTTGAGTCGGAATAAAAATATTGGAATTGAAATTTAGGTGAAATAATTCCCTAGGGTGAGAAATACATTAGAATTCTTGCTTTTAAATATGGAAAAATTGATTAGAATAACTGGACATAATTGAATTGTAATTGATAGTTAGGTGAAATAATTCCCTAGACTTTTCCAGCTTGATTTATTCATATAATTTGCATCCATTGAATTCGTCACCAAATTTATTGTTAGATTAGTTAACAATATTGATTTCAAATTCCATTCGTCTAGATAAAATCGAAGCTACCCAATTATAGTACTTGGTAGAAATTAAATTACAATCCCTATGAGTTCAACACTCTTACTTCAAAACTATATTACAAAACTTGATACCGTACACTTGTGATATAAATCACGTTGCATAAAATGCGTGGCAATGGTGGTGTGATGTGGCTGTGTGTGTGGTGGTGTGGTGACGCTGGCAAGGGGGTGGTAGTTCTGGAAGCGATGGTAGGGGTGTTCTGTGGGTAATGTAGGGTTTGGTGGTGGTAGGAGTGGAAGTGGGAGTGGTATACGTAACCAATTATTTGGGTATTACGACTAATAAATTGTTAATTTGTGATCAATAAATAATACGAGATCGAAAAAAAAGTGATTATGACTCAGAATTTGGTTAATTGTGACAAATTAATTTAATAATTTGTGATTGTGAAATAAGTTGTTGTCTATAAAATTTTTGATTTGTGACCGACAAATAAATTGTGACTTTTAAAATTTTTGATTTGTAATCAAAAAATAATTTGTGATCAATTAATTTGATAATGTGTGACGAAGAATATATTGTGACCTATCAATACGTAAGTGTGACCATAATATTGTTAACTGATAAAATATGTTTTTAAATTATTATTTAATAAATAAAATTTCATTAATATCTAATTTTTGAAATAGATGATACTTAATTTCTTAAATATGAAATGTTTAGAAGCCCTCGTAGCCCATGTACAAAGGCCAAGAGTCATCTTTTGTTAAATCGTGTAAAGTTGCAATTATTTTTTTAAAATCGTTTATAAGAGTTATCCCTATCTCTTTTTGAGTATATCTTCCAACGGACTCTGCTCAAAGCTCCTCAAAACACCAAAACAATGGCGAAGTTTTCAAGTTCCCTAATTTCCTCTGCTTTCACAGTTCCCAAATTGCCCCACAACTACCCTCAATTTTCTTCGTTTTCAATAATCTCATTTTCTAGCAGAGCCCAGTTTTTCTTGGAATCAAACCCCCGTAAATCTTTAAACTACTTCACTAGATCAAGAGGACTGGTGGTTAGAGCAGAATTTGATATCTCATTATTTCAACGAGATATTTCAGGCACAGATGACCCACCGCCGGCCGTACCTGGGTCGGGTTTCCCGGACGTTGAAGAGAAAGAGGAACCCCAGTGCCCACCGGGCCTCCGCCAGTACGAGACCATGGTGGTGCTAAGGCCCGACATGTCTGAAGACGAGCGCCTCGCCTTTACCCAGAAGTACGAGGAGGTATCTTTCCTATTTATGATGGAATTATAAATTGAAATTAACATAAATTACGGCCTGGGATTGTGTAATTATTGAAAATGTAATATAGAGTTTGAAATTTAGGAATTGAATTGTGCTGGGAACAGTGGAGTGGTTTTATTCAATAATTTGACTCGTTTGAAGCCTGAAGGAGCATTTTCGGTGTTTAGTTTTACGGATAAAGGAATACAAATTAGAGTACATTAGCATGTTTGGCTAAGCTTAATATAAGAGCTTAAAAGTAACTTTTAAAGCTTAGCCAAACATGTTTACATGTTACAGCCTTAGAAGTAAATTCCCTAATCTAATTTACTACATCATGCGGTTAAATACAAAGGAAGGTTTTAAAAAAAGGAATATGCTACTTTTATATAATACGATCTCTATAACGGTGTCCATCCCTTACGTGGAGGGGGATCCACTTCAAATAAATGAGTGAGTCTCCTCCATGTGAGGGGGTAGACACTGTTATGAATTTAAAAAAAAAAAAAAAATCTAAAGGGGATATTTACTTTTTTGAAAAAATAAATAAATCAAAAAGACCAAATCTATTCATTTTCAGTTTCTTAGAGATGAATTTATACCCAAAGACGCATACTTTGCTTTTCAACTTGTGATATTAATTAAAGGAAATTTAAATTACTATGCATGTAGGTATAGAGTATCCGACTCAATTTTCAGACAATCTGCTCTCAACACTGCGCTATGTGTATCAAGTTTCTATTCAACCTGAAATTTTCATTAACTCTTTTTATAGCTGACCGGGCAAAGCGCACAGCAAAGCATAATAAATTCAGCTAACTTTGAATATACGATGAAATAGTGAAAATTGATTAGTACCGAGAATAAGCATAGCATCAGGAAGAGCTCCGAGAATAGGGAGAAAAAGACCACCAACAATTCCAGGACCGAGAATCTCAAGCAAAAGCTCACTACCACTGGAGAGGTACGTCGCGGCTTGGAACATCAGGTATCCATAAACTATAATTAGGAACAGATTTCCCAATGCCGTAGAGGTGCACGGCATGAACCCGTACGTTTGTTCACACGTCTCCTCTGCCGCGTACATGCGGATAAATGAAGGCAAACTGGAGGCGTGTGTATGAACCCCGTCAGAGACGAGATCTGGACTGTCAGAAATGAAGCGACCGTAGGTGAATCCACAAAGGATCATGAAGAAGAAGAGAGTGTATAACGGCTTCGGTTTCGGATTGGATTGGCGCGCCATGGCTTCAAAAATGGAGTATTCACAGTGTAGTATGTGTCGAAGAAAATATATGTATCTATATAGACATGCGGTGTATCCATATGTGTGAGACGAAGAGCGTGTTTAGTGCGTGTTGATTGCAGTTAGTGTGTGTGTGTAAGCCGTGTATGGAAATTCATTTGATAAGGTGCAGAATTTTGTAAATATTATTTTATTTCAAGAACCTATTATTTTAAATTCGGTCCCTATATTTTTATTCTCTTGTATAGTGTAAGAATATAAACTATTTAATTTATTTTAAATAAACTAACGTTTTTATGTTCATTACTAGATCTTGCATCGAATCGAAATCAAATTTAATTATAAATAAAATGATCATTTTTACTATGCATGTAGGTATAGAGTATCCGACTCAATTTTCAGACAATCTGCTCTCAACACTGCGCTATGTGTATCAAGTTTCTATTCAACCTGAAATTTTCATTAACTCTTTTTATAGCTGACCGGGCAAAGCGCACAGCAAAGCATAATAAATTCAGCTAACTTTGAATATACGATGAAATAGTGAAAATTGATTAGTACCGAGAATAAGCATAGCATCAGGAAGAGCTCCGAGAATAGGGAGAAAAAGACCACCAACAATTCCAGGACCGAGAATCTCAAGCAAAAGCTCACTACCACTGGAGAGGTACGTCGCGGCTTGGAACATCAGGTATCCATAAACTATAATTAGGAACAGATTTCCCAATGCCGTAGAGGTGCACGGCATGAACCCGTACGTTTGTTCACACGTCTCCTCTGCCGCGTACATGCGGATAAATGAAGGCAAACTGGAGGCGTGTGTATGAACCCCGTCAGAGACGAGATCTGGACTGTCAGAAATGAAGCGACCGTAGGTGAATCCACAAAGGATCATGAAGAAGAAGAGAGTGTATAACGGCTTCGGTTTCGGATTGGATTGGCGCGCCATGGCTTCAAAAATGGAGTATTCACAGTGTAGTATGTGTCGAAGAAAATATATGTATCTATATAGACATGCGGTGTATCCATATGTGTGAGACGAAGAGCGTGTTTAGTGCGGGTTGATTGTAGTGAGTGTGTGTGTAAGCCGTGTATGGAAATTCATTTGATAAGGTGCAGAATTTTGTAAATATTATTTTATTTCAATAACCTATTATTTTAAATTCGGTCCCCATATTTTCATTCTCTTGTATAGTGTAAGAATATAAACTATTTAATTTATTTTAAATAAACTAACGTTTTTATGTTCATTACTAGATCTTGCATCGAATCGAAATCAAATTTAATTATAAATAAAATGATCATTTTTCTAATAAAATTAATGATCATTAACGTGTATCTTTATTTCGTTCCATTTTGAGTACGAGATCAGGGGGGTCAAAAGACGCAAGACCAAACGCAGTTCTTAACACATGTTGCAATTATTGTTGGTATAAAATAATAGGTAAAATCGTGTGAACTAGTGATAAGATTTCGATACTTAAATTAGGAAGTATATGACAACAATTTATGAGTTTTTCCTCTTGGACAATGTCCCGTCCAAACAGATTGGCTTGGTATCTACGCAGCTCCGGCCAATAGGGGGCGTCACATCGCCCCCTGTTTAGACAGGGCATTGTATAAGTAGCAGGGACCAGAATTTATTGGAATTTGGTTTATATCGAAATAAATTGCTTGTTGTAAGTTTTTCTGTGTCTTGTATTTGTCATAAATGAATTGAAGGGGGCGTTTGTTTCCCATTTTTGTAAAAATGAGAATGAAAAATATAACCGTTATGGATCTCACACAAGAGATATAAATTCAAATTTGGTGGCTTGATGTGATAGATAACAGTCATATTTTTCATTCTAGTGGAGAAAGAATAAGAAATAAACAGGGGCGATGTTTCACTGTTTCAAATACACAATGTAATTGGCCCTTGAAATGTGTGTTGTAGTCCAACTTATAATTGGTTGTTAACCGTAATCATTAACATTATATAGCTCCCGTCTAATAGAAGTTAAAATTTTTTTTTTTATCAAAGTCAAAATCAACAATTAATTTTAATTACATATTTTATAAGATTTACAGTTTTTCAATCACATATTTTATCAATTTTTATCAAAATTTGCTAAAAAGCTGATTTTTATCTCTATCAAACGGGGCATAGTCTGTTCTGCAAAGTTGGATTAAGTCTTTTGTTTTGGGTCTTAAAATAAAATAAAATAAAAGTACGAGAGCATGATTGCAACTACTAACGACTTCCCTCCGAGATTTTCAAATTTCAGAATTTTATAATTAAGACAAATTCATTTGAAGAAGTATTGATAATGTCATTAAAATTTTCAAATTTAAAACATGGGAGAAGATGAACATTAAGTTGGTAAATTCCCTAATCTAATTTACTACATCATGCGGTTAAATACAAAGGAAGGTTTTAAAAAAAGGAATATGCTACTTTTATATAATACGATCTCTATAACGGTGTCCATCCCTTACGTGGAGGGGGATCCACTTCAAATAAATGAGTGAGTCTCCTCCATGTGAGGGGGTAGACACTGTTATGAATTTTAAAAAAAAAAAAATCTAAAGGGGATATTTACTTTTTTGAAAAAATAAATAAATCAAAAAGACCAAATCTATTCATTTTCAGTTTCTTAGAGATGAATTTATACCCAAAGACGCATACTTTGCTTTTCAACTTGTGATATTAATTAAAGGAAATTTAAATTACTATGCATGTAGGTATAGAGTATCCGACTCAATTTTCAGACAATCTGCTCTCAACACTGCGCTATGTGTATCAAGTTTCTATTCAACCTGAAATTTTCATTAACTCTTTTTATAGCTGACCGGGCAAAGCGCACAGCAAAGCATAATAAATTCAGCTAACTTTGAATATACGATGAAATAGTGAAAATTGATTAGTACCGAGAATAAGCATAGCATCAGGAAGAGCTCCGAGAATAGGGAGAAAAAGACCACCAACAATTCCAGGACCGAGAATCTCAAGCAAAAGCTCACTACCACTGGAGAGGTACGTCGCGGCTTGGAACATCAGGTATCCATAAACTATAATTAGGAACAGATTTCCCAATGCCGTAGAGGTGCACGGCATGAACCCGTACGTTTGTTCACACGTCTCCTCTGCCGCGTACATGCGGATAAATGAAGGCAAACTGGAGGCGTGTGTATGAACCCCGTCAGAGACGAGATCTGGACTGTCAGAAATGAAGCGACCGTAGGTGAATCCACAAAGGATCATGAAGAAGAAGAGAGTGTATAACGGCTTCGGTTTCGGATTGGATTGGCGCGCCATGGCTTCAAAAATGGAGTATTCACAGTGTAGTATGTGTCGAAGAAAATATATGTATCTATATAGACATGCGGTGTATCCATATGTGTGAGACGAAGAGCGTGTTTAGTGCGTGTTGATTGCAGTTAGTGTGTGTGTGTAAGCCGTGTATGGAAATTCATTTGATAAGGTGCAGAATTTTGTAAATATTATTTTATTTCAATAACCTATTATTTTAAATTCGGTCCCCATATTTTCATTCTCTTGTATAGTGTAAGAATATAAACTATTTAATTTATTTTAAATAAACTAACGTTTTTATGTTCATTACTAGATCTTGCATCGAATCGAAATCAAATTTAATTATAAATAAAATGATCATTTTTCTAATAAAATTAATGATCATTAACGTGTATCTTTATTTCGTTCCATTTTGAGTACGAGATCAGGGGGGTCAAAAGACGCAAGACCAAACGCAGTTCTTAACACATGTTGCAATTATTGTTGGTATAAAATAATAGGTAA